GAGCCTGTAGCAGTGTTGCAAGCTCCACCCTAAAAATGGGTGGAACATGTTCCCAAAGGTGAACAGATCCTTTTTAAAGTTTTAACCGTGACTTTGTAAAACAACCCATTCAATTTCGAATAGAAATGAAAGGCAAAACATTTGAGTATACATATTAAAAAAAACAATATAAATACCCAGGCTTGATTACTTCCAGACCTGTTGAATCAAGAAATCACTTAAATAGAAGCTGTCTGACAAAGTGAAGCACGCTAAAAGATCTCAAAAAGCGACATATCATGCTGTGATCTATAGACATTCAAGAACCGATTAGAAACAAAGTAATTGACATTTATCAGTCTGGAAAAGGTTACAAAGTCATTTCTAGGGCTTTGGGACTCCAGCAAACCACAGTGAGAGCCATTATCCACAAATGGTGAAAACTTGGAACAATGGTGAACCTTCCCAGGAGTGGCAACCCTACTCAAATCACTCCAAGAGCATAATGACGACTCATCCAGGGGGTCATAAATAAAACCAAAATTACATCTAAAGAACTGCAGGCCTCACTTGCCTCAGTTAAGGTCAATGCTCATGATTCAACAATAAGAAAGACTGGGCAAAAATGGCATCCATGGGAGGGTTCCAAGACGAAAGCCACTGCTGACCAAAAAACACAAAAGCCCGTCTCACATTTGCCGAAAGACATCTTGATTATCCCCAAGACTTTTGGGCAAATATTCTGTGGACCGAAGAGACAAAAGTTGAACGTCCTGGAAGGTGTGCGTCCCGTTACATCTGCCATAAAACTACCACAGCATTTCATAAAAAGAACATCATACCAGCAGTCGAACGTGGTGGGAGTGTGATGGTCTGGGGCTGCTTTGCAGCTTGAAGATATTCTGGTAGAGCGCAGAATTCATGGTTCCATCAATTATGGCAAGTTGTCCAGGTCCTGAAGGAGAATATCTGGCTATCAGTTCCTGACCTCAAGCTCAAGTGCACTTGGATTATGCAGCAAGACAATGATCCAAAATACACCAGTAAGTCCACCTCTAAATTTCTGTCTTAAAAAAATCAGAATTAAGGTATTGTAGTTGCATTTGTTGTCGCCAAGGGTGGCACAACCAGTTATTACTTTTAGAGGGCAATTACTTTTTCACATAGGGCCAGGCAGGTTTGGACAGTCTATAAATAAAATCATCATTTAAAAACTGCATTTGTGCAATGTTAAATTTTTGTTTTATCGGAATAATTTAAGAGTGAAAAATATGCAAAAACAAAAAAAAAATCAGGAAGAAGGCAAATACTTATTCACAGCACTGTATCGGGAATATAAAATGATTATTATAATACATGATTTATATAGCGCCAACAGTTTGCTCAGCACTTTTCAAAATAAAGGGAGACAATACAGCAACAATACAGTTCAATGCAAGAGTGTTAGGAGGGCCCTGCTCCTTGGAGCTTACAATCTAAGAGGGAGGGGCTAGTGGTACAAAAATTAATAACTGTGAGGGATGGACTGGTAGGAGGAATAGAAGCTTCCATTATTAGCTGAGGGCAGGATAGGCTTCCCTGAAGAGAGAGGTTTTCAGAGATCTCCTAAAAGTGGGCAGAGTAGGCAATAGTCTGATAGATTGAGGTAGAGAGTTCCAGAGGATGGGGGATGCTCTGGAGACTAGCATGGGAGGAGGAGACAAGGGAGCTAGAGAGCAGGAGGTCGTGCGAGGAGCGGAGAGTACGTTTTGGGTGATATTTGGAGACAAGGTCGGTGATGTAATTTGGAGCGGAGTTATAAATGGCTTTATATGTTATTGTTAATGTTTTGAATTTTATTCGTTGGGGAATAGGAAGCCAGTGGAGGGATTGGCAGAGAGGGGTGGAGGACACTGAGTGGAGGCCAGTGGAGGGATTGGCAGAGAGGGATGGAGGACACTGAGTGGAGGCCAGTGGAGGGATTGGCAGAGAGGGGTGGAGGACACTGAGTGGAGACCAGTGGAGGGATTGGCAGAGAGGGATGGCATGTTAGGTTTACATATTCTACGGTTAAAAAAAAAAGCATGACTTTAGAGCCACTTTAAAGTGGTAGTGAACCTCAGATAATAAAAATCTTCTCTCTGCACGTTCAGATCATAATATGCTAGTATGCATAGCTCCCCGAGGCTTCCATCTTCACCCAGTCTTCCTTTCCGGGTTCACAGTATGCAGCTATTTGACTGGCCGAGTCACAATGATGTCACGTCCGCGCATGTGCGCAGAAGTCTCGGCCGCTGCACAGCTCTCTCAATGGACGTCATGCCGTCTATTCATATCGCAGTGTACATGCATCAGTGAAATCAACGGCGCTATAAAAGTAAACATCTTCTAAACTGTGCATGTTTAGGAGATATTTACAGTACCTACAGGTAAACCTTATTAAAGCGGAGTTGCACTCACGCTGTCATAAAAGTCAGCAGCTACAAAAACTGTAGCTGCTGACTTTTAAAAAAAACAGCCACTTACCTGTCCCTCGGTCCCGTGGTGTGTCCTCCGCAACCCGTTTCACTGGCCGTCCTGGATTCCAGGAGGCCGGCACCTTCAGTGTGGGCACCCAGCTGTGACAGCTTGCGGCTTCACTGGCGGGTACCCACTGCGCATGCGCGAGTAGCGCTGCGCTTCCTGAATGGTCCTGTAGTCTTCTGAGACCTGTCACGTGTCCCAAAAGACTACAGGGAGGGAGGACACCTTCCGATCACCTAGGCAGTCGGACTGGAAGTGGGAGCGAGTACCTATCAAACTCGGGTACCCACTCCCCCCCCCCAAAGGTACCAATCCTTAATGGGGAGCGGGGGAGCAGTCCTTAAAGTGGAACTTCCCCTTTTGGGTGGAGCTCCGCTTTAACATCTTACCTGTAGATAAAATATACAAAATAGACTTTCACTTTTAAATTTTTTTTTTTTGTTTGTTTATTTAGTTCAGCTTTTTAAGCTTTAACCATCACTTTCCTTTGTAATATATTCTGGATTATGGACCATAATGAGCATCTGCAAGAAAGCCAACACCAAATCCTCAGATGCAGGGAAAGCCTGCACATAGGATTGGATGCATGCTGTGTTCACCTGTTTAGCAAGGGGATGCCCCTGATAATTGTGTGGCAAGGTTGATCTGATACTCTGCAGATATAACAATTTCTGGAATTCGTTTTTTGTACTCCCATTCACTGATGAAATAGTTCCATTAATAGTCCCTATCTGCCGGAGGGCTTATATGGTCCCTACTTCAGTAAGTTCTGCTTCAGCCACTTTGGCTCTGTATTGTGACCAGCAGGAGGACCAGCCTTCCTTACATTGTGGAACTCTTCTGTAAACTTGTATGTTGAAGGATTTAATTAAAAAGAAAATAAATTACATTTACTCTGATTGTGCTTGGAGCTTCCACAGTTCAGTAAACACCGTGTCACAGCGGCAGAGAAGATAAAGACGGCAGGGGAATATTTTTTATTTTATTTTTTTTCCCCCCAATCCTAAATGGCTTCTGTCCCATGTGAGCCAGAAATAGACGTCAGAGAGGTGTGGGAAAACTAAGCACGGGACGCATTTGTCTGTCGGCTCACCAGGGACACAGAATGTAATTCTTCACCGAGCGTAATCCTTGCTACAGTCCTTCTACTCCAAGTAATATTGAAAAAAAAAAAAGAGATGCTGCAGGTGGCTGTGTGCAGCTGTATTAAATCCTTTAATGAATATTTTATTAAAGCTAAACCCCAGACAGATTTAAAAGTCACAAATGAATGCAGCGCTGTAGTCATTAAAGCTGAAGTTTAATCTGCTTATGTTTTGCCTTCCCTGGTTCCTCCTTTCTCTGCTCATCAACATGCTAATGAAATTATTAACTAAAGCCTTTCTGTTTTCATTACACACCTTATTTTAGAGGCAGTGACACTGAGTCTCTGTGCTTATCTATGCAATGCAGGCAGATCACAGTTGGTGGGAGGGGCAGGCAGGGTGCCATAGATAACTTCCTGAAAACATCACAGCACCCTGCCTCAGTACTTCTCTCAAGAGCTTTCGTTCCTGATGTAAGCAGTGGGCTGGCTCTTGGAAGGAAATATGGAAAAATCAAAATGCCTTGAGTGGATTTCATTCTGGAGGAGTGGGCGTTCCTTGGCAGGCTGTATTTGCATACAGACCACCTACATGTGATGCAGAGCCCCCATGATTTAAAGAACTGAAATCAAATCAATGCAAAGGTTGGCCAGGCCGGGAAACGATGTTTGAAGATGTCTGCCAACACTCCTTGGGCCTTTTTTCCACTCTACGCATCCTTGAACAGTTTGAGCATCGTCCCCTCCTCTCTCTCTTATGTGACTCAGTGGGAACAAGACTTGGCAACTGAGATAGACGTGGCGGACTGGACCTAAATCTTCATCAAACACTGCCACTTAAGAGATGGCCATAAAGTGCTCTTGCTTACAGGCCTCAGGGCCTGGTCTGTGCACTATTAGGCACGGTACCACTTTTTTTATTTTTTATTTATTTATTTAATCACTCCCACGTTTTGTCACTTTTTCTGTTCTTATGTGTGTGTTTTTCACGGATGGAGGGTGTGGGTCCTCGGGCCTTACCTGAAGTCTAGGGGGAGGATGTGTGGCCCTACGGCTCCTTCCTCCCCTGATCCCTAGGGGGTTTTCTCTTCGGGAGAACCCCCTTGCCTAGTACTGGATGTCCGGCTTCAGCTGGGCATAAGGAACGGTGGTCCACCAGGCCTTTAGGACCAAATGGGAACCTTGTCCCTGTCAGGAGCTTCGTGCCCCGGGGGATCGGGTGAACGGTCCAACCCTTCCGGGGGTAGGACAAACACACCCCTAAGTGCACTTTTTTTTCGTGTGGTGTTCGCACTTGCACATTTTTTGTGATCACTTACGGGTTTTTCGTTGTAGTTTGCACGTTTGCGGACTAAAAAAAAAAAAAAAAAAAAATAAAGTGCTCTTGCTTACATGTGTGTGTATATATATAATGTGCTTTCTCTGTTTCTTGTAGTACACCGAGGCTGCAAATCGGAATGGTGAGCTGGAGTGTGAGAAAGAGAAGAGGTTGGGTGCTGTGGATGAATCCTTGAGGTGAGTGAATATATATATATATATATATTACACACTCCATAACTCCACTATGAGTAAAGCTGGCCATGCACGTGTTTTTTTTTTTTTTGTTTTTTTTTTTTTTTTTTAAGCCAGCAGGTTAAACAAGAACTGACTCGATTCACACATTCAATGCAGATGCAGGAATCTTCCCCATTGTGTCATTGTATTACAGCAGGGACTCTGGCCCCCCTCTGTCAGAAAATACACTTGATCAGCACTGCAGCCGGTTGGCTGCAAATGTTGATCATATGGAGGTTTTCCAAGAAGACTGTTCATAAGAAGTCAATCGATAGATCGACTTCTTCTGGCCAGGTACGGCCACAGATGGATTGAGCTGACCTAACTTCGATCAATGCATGGCCAACTTAAGGCTACGTTCACACTAGCCTTGTCAGCAAGCGGCAGACTAGGCATTTGGGAAGCGTTTTTACCGTTTTCCAAACGCCTCGGAAAATTCTGTACATTGCAGCACATAGCGCTGTTCACACGGAGCGTTAGCGTCGCGTCACGGCAAAATGAGCGCCTCTGGTCGAGTCAGGAGGAGTTGAAGCCTCCTATAAAACTCTATGGTGCTGCTCCGCAAACGCCCGGCCGGTGTTTGCGGTGCGGTTGCGAGGCATTTGCGGAGCGTTAACACCATTCAAACTTCATTATAGGCATTTGTGGGGCATTTTAAAGCTTAGCAAACGCCTAGTAACCGCCACTAAACCGTGCATACGGCATTTTTGAAGCGTTTGTGGAGCGTTAAAAACGCTCCGCAAACGCCGGACCAACGCTTGTCAAACGCTATAGGGGCGTTTTGGCAAGAGTTGGAAAAAATCAAGTGTGAACGAGCCCTAAGACTCAGAAGTTGTAAGGAAATGAGAGCTTCGCCTTATTGTGACATTTCTTCTTGCAGTGAAGCCGCACAAGAAGCCTTTTCACAGTGGAATCATCATGACGATAACTCCGATGATAATTTCTGCGAACATGACGGTATGTGGCCTGTCCTCCTCCTGATATCAGACTGGAAAGATAACATGAGAGCCAAGCACGCAGATGTAATTAATATACCAAAAGCATGCGCAAAACCTTTAATTTCTTTCACTGTGATTTTGATTTTTTTGATTAAATTGTTACTAAACCCAAGTAAAAATCAGTCTGTATATGCAGTAAAGCATACTTGTTATACTCGCTGTGGAACCCAAGGGGTTAAGCCTCTCCATTGTGTAAAAAGGCTGTTTGATCCTGTCTTCTCTGAACCTGCCCTTCTTTCACTGTCCATAATCCATTTGCTGATAGAACAGAGCCTTGGGGGCTAACTGCACATGCTCATTTTGGTGTGCATTTGCTAGAGTGTTTGTTTTTTTTTTTTTTTTGTTTTTTTTCTTGGGAGAGTGCATGTGATTAGCACAGGGCTAATAAGCACTGTCCAGATAGAGATTCGGTGGTCAGGCAGCCTCATAGGACAATTAGAGGAGAATGAAAACTCCTGCAAACTTTAACCAGTGCAGCTCTAACTGCAGATGAGAAAAGGTATTTAGCAGACTATATTTACTAAAATAATTGCATTTCCATGTTCTGTGTACTGTGGGAGATCACATATAGTAAATGCAGGGTCCTGGGTTTAGTAACACTTAATCAAATAATGTGAATAATAGTGTAGAAAAATACATAAAAGATCACCAATAAAGTGACAAAATAAAACCATAAGTCACCAGATTTATATGCAACATAATTCAAGTAATGTTATAATAAAGGTGGAAATCCACTGCCAGAGATCAAGCTATGAAGTTCAGGGCTCCATCAGGGGCCAGTACTGAATCTTTAATAACAATCAAATGCTGCAGTTCCACGTGCAGGGGAGTATTTACCACAAGGCAATCAAGGCATTTGCCTAGGGCAGGGGTCTGCAACCTTTAAGACATAAAGAGCCACTTGGACCCGTTTCCGAGAGGGAAAAAAAGACTGGGAGCCGCAAAACCATTGCAACATTTAAAACAAATCCGACACTGCATATATTGCAAAAAGCGCTCTGGTCATGAAGGGGGTTTAAGGGCCCAGTAAGCAAAGGGTTAATCAGGGCCACAGTGTATCGTCATAATCACAATCATAGCCTTAGGTCAGTGGTGGGCAACCTTTTTTTTCAACTGAGCCAAATCTCGCCAAAACCACGATTGAAATTTATTTTGAGAGCCACATTTTTAAAACTGAAAATACATCCCCCATATAGTAATTCATCCCCCATATAGTAATTCATCCCCCATATAGTAATTCATCCCCCATATAGTAATTCATCCCCCCTATAGTAATTCATCCCCCCTATATTAATTCATCCCACCTATAGTAATTCATCCCCCCTATAGTAATTCATTCCCCATATTGTGTCAATTCACTTACCTTTGCTCCGCGTGTTCCTCTCGCCGTGTTCCCGCGCCGTTCCGGTCTTCAGGGCGGACTGTGAGAGGAGAGGAGTTCGTCACGCTGCCCCGCCTACATCCTGACAGCCAATGTTTGCCACGCTCCGCGGGCCGGATTAAAAGGTCCGCCGGGCCGTAGTTTGCCCATTGCTGGGCTAGCTGCAGAGTCCTGACTTTTGGGGCGGCCGCCCGAGAGGAGGGAGGGGAGCGGGCGCCCGGCACACAGAAGAGCCGCATTGAAGTGTGTAAATAGCCGCGGCTTGCCGACCACTGAGCTACAGCAACCCTATTGCCTGTCACCTGGTGGGCAGTGTGCTCCGGGTGCCGCAGCAAAGGTGAAAAAGAGCCGCATGCGGCTCTGGAGCCGCGGGTTGCCGACACCCGGCCTAGGGCGACATTTGTCAGGGGGGCAGCGCCGTCCCCCAAAAGAAGGGATGGAAGAAGGGACACACACAGCATGGGGACCAGGTGGGATCTGAGAGGGGCTGCTTGATGGTATATGCAGAGCCTGACTCTTGTTCCTGGGGATGTCTGGTGCTGTGAAGGTGAGTGTCTTCGCTCTCGCAGGGTCGGGGGGGGGGGGCGTTGCCAGTGCATAGATGGAGGTGGTGGTAGTAGTGGAAGGCTCTCTCGGGTGGGGGTGTTGTTGGTCAATGCCAGGCTCTCTTCATGGGGGAGAGGGGGGGGGTGCTGGTCAGTGTCAGGGTCTTTCACAAGCATCTTCGGGTTACATAAAGCACAAAATTGCCATCCTGCGGGTGTGATGGTTTCGTAGGCCACTGGCCTTGCCCTACGCGTTTTGTCTGTTCAAGGGAAGTCTTCAGCGCATATTAAAAAAAAGGCAGTCCCTTGCACAGACGAAACACGTAGGGTTTCCATTGAAAGGTGGAGTGCTCTTTACATATACATAGATTTTTTTTTTTTTTTTTTTTTCAGATGAAGAGTCTCCAGATGCAGAGTATGTCGACTTGCTTATTAATCCGGAACGATACACGGGGTACAAAGGATCTGATGCTTGGAAGATCTGGAACAGCATTTACGAGGAGAACTGTTTCAAGTAAGTGACCGCATCATCTAAATTTGTCCTTTAGGACTATGGAGAAGAAATAATAAACTTCTATGTAATGTCAGTGGTTGATCTTACACTCATATGTATTTTTACCTTGCTGCCTGCACGCAGTGATTCCTGTACTGACTCCGCCTCCTGAAACTCCTCCTCTCAGCATCTCTGTAGTTCAAAAGGTGGGTTCTGTGAAATGTGTGACACAGCAGTGCCTATTCACAGGGCATAGTGAATATGTCACAAAGTTCACAAAAGTAAATGTGTGGGGATCTTAAAAGCGGAGCTTCATCCAGAAGGTAATTTTGGGGGCGAGGGGAGCGGCAGTTAGCGTGCCAGCGCAGGGGACCCGAAGACCAGTGAACTGGCTCTGGAGAGGATGCGCTGGATCCTTGGGAAAAGTGAGCGTCGGTTTATTAAAAGTCAGCAGCTACAGTATTTGTAGCTGCTGACTTTTAATTTTTGGATCTCTGGCTGAAGCTCCTCAACCACTTGCAATCTTATTTTGGTAAAAATACCCAATTGTTTGGTAACATAAAAGATGGTGCGCCAAGAAAAATACTAAAGCTTTCATGCTTTAAAAAGTGCGTCCACCTGTGAAACATGCCAAATGACAGTATCTAAAAATCTCCATAGGCAGCTATATAAAAGCCTTTACAGGTTACCAGTTTAGAGTTACACAGGAGGTCTGGCGGTAAAATCATAGCTCTCACTCTGCCGTATGCAGTAATACATCACATGCGTGGTGCGATCGCCATTTATACTGTATATGCATGCAGGTCCTACGTGTGCGTTCACATTTCAGAGTGAGCATAGAGAACGGGGGCACTTTATAAATTATATTAATTTTTTTTATATTTTGCACTGTAACTTTTTTTTATTTTTGTGACAGGTCCTCTTTGTGGAGAGATTGGGGGTCTATAAGACCCCCGATCTCTCCTTTTTGACTTCCAATGCAACCAATCAGACACACTGGTCTGATCGGCTGCTTCCCTGGCTGTTACCATCCAGGTAAACGAAAGACCTGAACAGGAAGTGACGACATCCTCGTTGCTTTCTGTTTGTGACGTCACACAGTGGGAGGAACGGCTCACTGTGTGCCAGGAGCTGGATGCCACTGGACGTGTTATTGCTGTCGTCCCCATTTGCACAGGAGAACCCAGTAAAGGCGGAGGGAGGGGGGTGGGACCCCTTCCACCGCCTATAGAAGTAATCCAGTGGCTTGTTAGCCGCCCGGATTACTTTTTTACTTTGTAGGAAATCGTTGTGGCTACAAGAGGATATTTTGATCATTGCTGCAGCGATCACCAAGAGATAGATATAGATAGATAGATATATATATATATATATATATATATATATATATATATATATATATATATATATATATATATATATATATATATATATATATAATATGATGTTTATAAACGTACCTTGGACAGGAAGTGGTTAAAGTAAGTTTTTTTTTTTTTTTTTACAAATGTCAGGATCATTCAGATTAATAGGTGTAGGCTAGAAATAATTAAAATACAGTGTGAAAATGAATAAGTGTTTACATTTTGACCATGGATGCACCTCAAAATCTGGCAGGAGTTCTATGCCTTCCCCTTCCCATCAAAATGATGAAAAAAAAGAGTTGGCCTTGAAGAGAAAGAAAAGAGGAAAAGCTTACGATTATGAAAGGAAATGGTTTCCTACATCACCGTCTTCCTGCCAGTAATCCCTGTGCGAGGCAATCTGCCTCTATAAGTAAAAATAGTCAATGGTGAACAGCTTGCATTTACCACATGGCAGAATCAAAGTGTTAAGACCCTCTTGAAACCCTACTTTTTACTTGTTATATATTCAGGCTGTGTTAGACACTATATATTTCGGCTGTATTACATGCGATATATTCCGGCTGCGTTGCACGCGATACATTCAGGCTGCGTTGCGCGCGATACATTCAGGCTGCGTTGCGCGCGATACATTCAGGCTGCGTTGCGCGCGATACATTCAGGCTGCGTTGCGCGCGATACATTCAGGCTGCGTTGCGCGCGATACATTCAGGCTGCGTTGCGCGCGATACATTCAGGCTGCGTTGCGCGCGATACATTCAGGCTGCGTTGCGCGCGATACATTCAGGCTGCGTTGCGCGCGATACATTCAGGCTGCGTTGCACGCGATACATTCAGGCTGCGTTGCACGCGATACATTCAGGCTGCGTTGCACGCGATACATTCAGGCTGCGTTGCACGCGATACATTCAGGCTGCGTTGCACGCGATACATTCAGGCTGCGTTGCACGCGATATATTCAGGCTGCGTTGCACGCGATACAATCCGGCTGCGTTGCACGCGATACATTCCGGCTGCGTTGCACATGACAAATATGGCCTTGTTCTGTCTCTCCATTCTAAGCATTGATAGTGTGATTTCTGTAACTTACAGTTGTGATGAGATGGTGATAACTTCAACCTCAGTTGGATACCACAGTCAGTGACTCAATCAGATGATATCTTGCAGATCTTGTGAAGTTTATTCCATAAACTGTGAGAATCTTACAACGATGAACATTCGATAGGTCAAAAGATCATACTGTTTCTGCTCCATGCCATGAGGCTTGCTGTAATGCATTCCTGGGAAAGGGGGAGGGCTATCTATACAACATTAGCTAAACCAAAGGAAAGGGAGGGGCAGAGACAAGATATAGAAAACTCTTAAAGGCATGTGAAACATGATAGGCCTTCTTCTACTTCTTCCTATTTTTATTTTTTGGATGTATTTATGCTCAATACTGAATTAAGCTGCCATAAATTGGCAGCACGCTGGAGAGCTGAGCCACTACTCACACAGAGCCCCGAGTCCCGATCTCCAGCAGCCTGACACACCCCATGCACAATGCTCCAATTAACAGTGCTGTTCAAGGAACATAAGCTTTGTTGCTTGGGATACCATGTAGGGAGCGTGTCAGACTGCTAACGACCTTGACAGCTGCACTATGTAGTCCAGCTCTCCAGAGTGCTAATGGCACAGGCCATTTTAGTATGTTAAAGCGTATTTAATCCCAAGAACTAAAATTAGATGGATGGATAGATAGCAGCCTATCTTTGTTTAGATGTGGTGGCAGCATTTTTCCCCTATTTTGTTATTTAGGCTTTCTTTTCACCTCATGATCCTGCCAGTAACACACCTTTCTAGGGTGACAACGCTCATTCACTGTACTGTATCTATGGAGGAGAAGTGTTGTTACCATAGGACAGGACTACAAATGCCTCCCCTTCTCCTGTTCTCCAGAACACAGAGGAAGAGGCACTGTAGTCCTCAAATAGGAACAGTTTAATGTGAAAAGAATGCAGTGCAGGACGTTATTAGCTGATTTCTGTCGGCATCAGTAGTTTGTTTTTTGTTTTTTTTTTGTTTGTTTGTTTTTTTTTGCCACTTATCTGGGAGATATTACAAAATGCACTCAATGGTATATTTTACAGATCAAGGGGGACCAAATAAAAGAAGTTCATTAGTACAGTTTACAAATCCTTTTACGCATAGGCATATAAAAATACAAACCTCTCAGTGCCATCATCCACATAGAGAAAGAGAACGGAGAATGTAAATTAAACCGTGTGTGTGTTTTAGTATCACTGTTGGGCTTTAGAGCATAGAATCTGCAATATTCCTTTGTGCAGAGCTACTAACATTTGAGGTTCTCTTCCCCTTTAAGCTGCACTAGCGCTGTATTGATTTTGTACTTCTACATATTAGTGAATTTGTTCAGCATGACCTCGGTTCCAAGCCTCATTATTTATTTTTCTATCTGGCATAGCCTTTAACTGTTTGCATATTCAAATACAGACCAAACAATATGTACAGCCCAGTAGTCTTATCATCCAAGTCAAATAGAGCAGGAGGGACAGCATACCTGAGACGTGCAGTGAAATGGCTCCTGAAAAGTGTAGCTGTAATGTGAAAATCTGAATGTTTTTTCTAGTTTTATTACTGCTGAATCGATAAGGAGTGGAAGGCTTCTTCCAGCTGCTGGCATCTATATGGATGGTTATGAAAAGTCTGATACCCAATTTTTGCTGCTTGCAACAAAGGACAACTCCAGAACAGGGGTCTCCAAACAAGAAAGGGACAGCTTACTGTCCTTCAGAGTTTAGGGGGGCCTGGACTGCGCCAAGTGGGAATAAATAATGCCCGATCTTTGGTATTAGGGGGAGAAAGAGTTGGTGTCAGTGGGAGGAATAGTGTCTAAAGGGCCAGATAAGACAAGCAAAGGGCTGCAGTTTGGAGACCACTGTTCCCGAGGATTGTTAAACCTACTTCCAGGGATAGGGGGTGTGGTTGATGTCCTGGGAGGTGTCTGAATAAAGCTTTGGCCCTTATGGACGTGGCATTTCAGGGTGTAAAGTCTTATATTACGTACCTTCCTTACCCCAAACACCACTAAACTACTCGTACACTCCCTGATTATCTCACACCTTGACTACTGCAACTCCCTCCTCACCAGCCTACCCCAGTGCAGGCTCTCCCCGCTTCAGACCATCCTGAACTCAGCGGCTAGACTCATCCACCTCACCAACCGCTCCACCTCTGCCACCCCCCTCTGCCTCTCCCTCCACTGGCTCCCGATTGCCCAACGCATCAAATTTAAACTTCTAACCCTGACCTACAAAGCCATTCACAACACTGCCCCTGACTACCTCACCAACCTGATCCCCAAGTACCGCCCTACCCTTCGCTCCTCACAGGACCTCCTTCTATCCTGCTCCCTGGTCTCCTCCTCCCATGCACGACTGCAAGACTTCTCCAGGTCCTCCCCCATCCTCTGGAACTCACTGCCCCAATCCATCAGACTGTCGCCTTCCCTCCTCACATTCAGGAGCTCCCTCAAAACCCATCTCTTCAGGGAAGCCTACCCCACCCTCACCTAATGGCCATTCTCCCTCATTCCTCCCACCACTTCATTCCCCTCAGCCACTTCCTACTGTACCACTACCCCCTCCCTCCTAGATTGTAAGCTCGAAAGAGTAGGGCCCTCTTACCCCTCGTACATTGTTATTGTTGTACTGTGCCATGTATTGTCCCCCCTATATTGTACAGCGCTGAGCAAACCCTTTGGCGCTATATAAACTCGATGTAATAATAATAATACAGGTACTCTTAGGAGCAGTATTGGGTTCCTTCAATTAATAGTAGGGCCCCGAGTCCAGACCCAGCTAGGCTAAACTCTTTGTGTAATCCTCTACAAATAGCTGGAGGCTATGGCTTGGCAGAGGGATGCCCATACTGGATTAATTGGCCAACCTACCTGAAACTGAACTGCTGCAGATCCCCTCCTAAACAGATACCAGCAGAATGGATGTCTCCATTGGAAAACTATTGCCCCCACTTTCTTTTTTGGTGACAACTGTAAAATTTTGGGTTTCTCTGTCCCTTTTTTTTTTTTTTTTTTTCCCCATTGTGATAATGGCCACCAGGACAAAATAAAAACATGACAAAAGGTCTAACCACCCCCTACTTTATTAAAACAAAGTTTTGGCTGTGACTATACTTTACTTTAAAATGGAACCTTCCCTTCAGGCCAAATCCCTGAATTCATTGTGGCCTTCCTTCTTACAATAAACAGTGCTTCAAACGTCATAAATGTACCCGTAGGGGGAAAATGGTCGAATAATGTACTCGCCTTTCCCTGGCTTCTGTAGTGCAGGGGGGTGACTTCATCCTCCAGCCATCATGATCCCTGGGAATGATGTGTAGCCCAAATTGTGAGAGAAAACCATGCAGAATGGTGCAGGGTCGTCTTCTTGCAAGGTTTGGGCTGCTCAATCTTCTTCATGACCTAACTTCCATAGTACCAGAGGTGACTTATGTGACTTCATCCTCCTGCTAACAAGCTCCCTGGGAATGAGTAGTAGCTCAAATCTCTAGAGACGTTGTGCAGAATCATCCTCTCACAAGCTTTGGGCTGCTCAACATTCTCCGAGAACTGGCTGGAAGAATATGACATCACTTTTGCCTAGGTGCTGTGGGGGAAATCGGAGACAGATGAATCTATGATCTATTTCTCCCTTGAGTGGATCTTGTCACTTGCAAGGTAAGTAAGTTTTAAAACCCAACTCCAACTGGAACCTACAAGCTACCAATTATTAGCCATCTGCAGCACATTGCCTTCCTTTGTGTAACTGGATAGGGGATGAGGAGAGACTGTCGGAGCAGCCACTTCCTCTTCCCGAAATCATCAGATGGACAAAGACTTCAGTTTAGCCACAATAGCGGCACAGTTTTTCATTGTGCAAGGCTTGTGGAAGTTCCAGGAATGTTGTGTAATTGAGCCCAAACATACTTCCAATATACTTATCTGTAAGGTCAGCTCTGGTGTGTACTAAGTTTTGTGAAGGCATGGTTTGCTTAACCCCTTGTTACAAAAAGGTTGAGTGGCTAGCTAGCAACAGGAAATACATTATTAACCGCAATGCTAGCCAGTACTTAATTTGTTGCCGATGGAGGAAATAGAGAGTGTGGGTTGGAGCTAAAAAACCTTCAGTATGCAGCTCCCCTTCATACTTATCTGAGCCCGATCGTGATCCAGCAATGTGCATGAGAACAGCTGCTGTCCTGCCTCTGTGCCTCCTCATTGGCTCAGAGACTGACAGCAGCAAGAGCCAATGGCTCTTGCTGCTGTCAGTCAGTCAATGAGGAGAGAGCAGGGGTGGGGACTATCCCCGTTCTGTGTCTCTTATGGACATGCAGAGTGGGGCTCAGTAGCGAGCACACACGAGTGCCCCCTTAGTAGGAGGCTTGCTGCAGGAGGCACTTCGCAGGGCTAAGGAGCCAGAGCGCTGGTGGGGGACACGAGAAGAAGAGGGTCAGGGCTGCTCTTTGCAAACCTCTTGCACAGAGTAGGTAATATAACATGTTATTAAAAAATAAACGTTTTCACTTGATTGTAAACCTTCACCTGATTGTATAGACTGGGAAAATAAAGGCAACTACTTGATGAGTACCTGACTGTAAAGCTTTGAAATTGAAGGCAGGCACCTGATTGGTTACCTAAATGTATAGCGTAGAAAATAAGCCCCTGTCTACACTAGTGTGATTTGTCATGGCAGTACTAGGGTCGTTGGTTCAAATCCCAACCACGGCACCACCTGCCTGGAGTTTGCATGTTCTCCCTGTGCCTGCGTGGGTTTCCTCTGGGTACTCCGGTTTCCTCCCACACTCCAAAGACATGCTGGTAGGATAATTGGATCTGAGAATTTGAGTTAGGGACCTTAGATTGTACACCCCTTGAGGGTTAGGGACCTTAGATTGTACACCCCTTGAGGGTTAGGGACCTTAGATTGTACACCCCTTGAGGATTAGGGACTGATGTGAATGTACAATATATATATAAAGTGCTGCATAAATTGACAGTGCTATACAAGTACCTGAAATAAATAAATCTGCTGTCAGTGCTGCAACGCACAACAGTGGAAATCATGTTATTCTTAATGGTGACTGTTCACATCCGTCCAACGCGGTGCGGTGAGTATTTTGAAAAGGTGCGGGTTCTTCTTTTGGCACTACACAGTGAGGTTTGTAACCCATGGACTTCATTTTGGCACGCATAAAAACCCATATATGCAGTCTCTTCCGCCTAGCCACAATTATATTGTTAGTCGTTGGCAAAGACAAAAAGGCATGAAAATGCATCAAAAACACATAAACGTGCTACAAAAAGGCATATGATTATGCAGCAACACTAGCAGGAACCTAGAATAAAGGCAGACAGCCTGATTGGTTACCTGATCATATATAGCTTAGAAAATTAGGGCAGACACCTGACTATTTTCTACGCTATACTATTAGATAATCAAAGGCAATGGCTTAAAAAATAAAGGGAGGCAACTGATTAGTTATTTCAACAGCCAACGTATTAGGAATATGACTTGTTTACCCACTGGAGTTAAATTCTCCTCATTGTTTTGCAGGCCAAAAGCCGTAAAACGACCACTGAATCCTCTGGCTTCAGGGCGAGGTAAGAAAAATTCCCTTTTTTATTTCTTTTTTTTTTTCCATATGTTTTCTTGTGGTGTATACATTTTATTAGGACTTCTTATGAAGAAATTGTATTTACATTTCAGGTGATATGGCATGCTAAACAGCAGGCATGGTTTGATCAGAAATTGATTCATATGATGCCAGCAGTGAATAGAGAATAAATGTACATTGTTTGTTTTTATTTCTTTATTAAATATATATTTTTTTTTCTGTAGGTGAAAATGAAGGTAAGGGAACCCATCCATTTATTTCATAGCCCTTTCCAGGTAATAGTTAATCATTTTAATTGTCTGTTGGATCACTTGGGTAGTTCAGCCCACTCCTTCATATTTTTTTTTTTTCTTGTTTGTGACAGGGGCTCAGTGCTCTGACCCCAGAGCTGTGCAACTTCCTTGGGACTTTCCGGCAACTTTTGTGGTTTAAAATTGCAGTCTGTGGCACCCAAGTCGCACCAAAGTTGCAGAAAAGTTTTTTTCCTGTTTCTTCGACTTGGGTCACATGGGTTAGGATGGCACCCATTTGAAATGAAAGTGTTTTGACTTGTCATGGGACTTTGTGTTGTATAAGTCACAGAAGCGTAAACCAGGGATGGTACTGTGTTAATTAAACCCAGCTAGAGACGTGAAATTTTTTTGTTCTGCTTAGGGCAGGGAATAGTTGGAACTTTATTGTAGGGGACCGAGTGGGGGGTTTTGGGCACGCCTGTTCATGCCCTCCTTTCCTGTTCCTGTGGCACTTTTCAGGAAGCAAGTGGATATCTCCACAACAGTACCATAGACTGCAATAAAACTCTAATACATACAATCCAATAAGAGCGTAAACAAATGTCCAAGAGTCCAAGGTAATTTTGATGATCAGATTGATTCATAGCAAAATAAAGCCAAACACACAACTGTTTTATCAGGGCTTCAGAATTCTTTTTACACAGACTCAGGTAAGCAAATGCTAAGTAAATCTGAGATTTACTGCTTCGACCAGTTTCAGGAGGGGAAGGTTAAGCTAGTGTTAGTGAATACAGCTGCGTTCTTAGCTGTGTTGTCTATATGATAGTTATCTGAATTATTGTCCCTATTGGGAGATTATTCTTGTTCTAGTGACAACCTGGATTTTCCATAAGTTTCATTTCTTTGACAGTGGTTACCAGGACAAATAGAGGATCTCCTTAGTGGGAACAGGAACAGCAATAAAAACTGACAGGTGTATTAACCCCTCCCCAATTGGCTTTACATATACATTAATTAGAATGTTGGCATTTTTTATTTTTTGGGTCAAACTTTTTTTTCTTTTTTTTTCCCCAGAAACCATGTTCTATAGCTGGCTGGAAGGTACGTAATTTTAATTTCCGCCAAAAAAGAAAAGCGAGATTTTATTTATTATATAATTAATAATTAAAGAAAAAAAAATAATAAAATATATATATATCTATATATCTATATATCTCCTGTCTTGTAATTACAAGCATACTGTATAGCATGTTTCTCCCCTGACAAAACAGCAAGGGTTCCCCAAGGGCATACAATTTCCTCACTCTTGGTGTATGAACTGCATTGTGCTGATTCCAGCAGCTCTATGCCTGATTGAAGGCAGCTCTAACTCAATCAGCATGAACAATTTATTAAAGGAGGAATCCGCTGACCTTACACCAACCATCTGATCAGTACCGTTGCAGAAAAATAACAACCCTTATTCCGTTGCATACAATGCATGCAGTTGTACTGCCTGCTTTAACGCCTTGAATCCCACACTAGTGCGCCATATTGACTCCTTACTGCCTGTCAAATGCTCTCTGAAGAGCAATCAGAACATGGGTCACTCTCCAGATTGCAAAGCTCTTGTGAACCTGCCCTTATGCTCTGTCAGGGTGCGATGTGATGTCACAACTTCATTGCTTTGTAACTCTCCCCTGGCCAAATTGTAGCACAAGAGTCTACATATATAATAATAATAATAATTGCCCAAATTTGACTGTGTATTCAGTGCAGACTAAAGCGACTAGCCTTTATATTTCAGTTTGTATGTAGTATTTTATGTTTCTTTCTTACAGCTGTTCTTGTACTACTTTTTGTAGGTCTGTGTGTTGAGAAAAGAGCATTCTACAGGCTGATATCTGGGTTACATGCAAGTATCAATATTCACCTCAGTGCAAGATACCTACTGCAAGGTAAGGAAGATGTACTGTACTGTACTGCTCACTTAAAGCAGTTGTAAAAGCTCAAGGTTTTTACCATCATGTATTCTATGCAGGGGTGGACTGACCATTTGGAAACTCAGGCCCCTAGTCCCCCTAATACTCACCTAAGCCCCGTCTCGATCTGGAGTCTCCGCTATCCTGGGACTCCCTGTCCTCATTGACTGAGACAGCAGTGGGAGCCCATTGGCTCCCGCTGCTGTCAATCGCAGCCACTGAGGAGCGAGGGGGCGGGCCCGAGCAGGCGGGAGACCTGAGGAGAGGAGGATGGGGGGTGCTGTGTGCAAAACCACTACACAGAGCAGGCATTTATAAACGTGGGGGTTTTTTAAATTAAAGTGGAGCTCCACCCAAATGGGGAAGTTCTGCTTTAAGCCTTTGTCCCCCGCTTCCCATTAAGGATTGGCACCTTTGGGTAACGGTAACTCCTGTTGAGCGTTACTGTTGAAAAACATTTATTGATCAGCAGGCTGCAGCTAATCAGCTGTAGCCACTGATCAGTGTATTCTGTTCAGGAAGACCCACTGTCAGAATACAATGGCACAGCTGGGAAGATTCCTCCATCCACCTTGCTTGTGTGGCTTTGGGGCTTGCTGTGGGGGGGGGGGGGTTCAATCAGCCCCCTGGCTGATAAAAAAAAAAAAAACTGTCTGTGATCAGCCTTTGTATCGCTGCACCAATATAAACTATTCCCTTAAAGTGGAGTTCCAGCTGAAAAAAAAAAAATAAGTCAACAGCTTACAGAAACAGTAGCTGCTGACTTTTAAAATACAGTCACTTACCTGTCCCTCGGTCCAGCAGTGTCCTCACCACAGTTTCACCGGCCATCTTCTCTCCCCGGGGTCGGCATCTCCAGTGTGGGCACCCGGCTGTGACAGCTTGCAGCTTCACAGCCGGATGCCCACTGCGCATGTGCGAGAAGCGCTGTGCTTTGTGAATGGTCCCATAGTCTTCTGGGAGGGGGGATAACTTCCGCTTCCGATCGCAGCAGAACTGGGAGCGGGTACCTGTCAAATTCGGGTACTCGCTTCAACCCCACCCCCCCAGAGGTGCCAAGTGGGGGACAGAGACTTAAAGCATAACTTCCCCTTTCGGGTGGAACTTCCCTTTAAGCACTTATTAGTGTCCCTCAGTTCTGTCTGAGGTCTGCAAAACTCTTGCAGTCAGTTGGACAAGATTATATGGGCTGCAAATAAACATACACATCATGCTTTTAAGTTGTTTGCAAGAAGATGCTGGAATTGCACTGCAAAAACTCTTGATTTTGAGCACAACTTGCTTGATAAATCTCTGTCTCTAAGAGGAAATGCTTTGCTGTGTCCTCATATTGCACTTTAGTTAACCTCCCCCATTTCCTAATTTTTAGTTCTCTCCACTTGTCTGTCCCTCAATAAAACACAGAAGTATCTTTGTGCTATAAAACCAGGAAACCAAACTCCCTTAGATTTACTGCAACCAGAGTCATTAGATGAGAGTAGCTCACTGCGCAATAAAAAACCCATTCCATATATTTTTACTCCAACACCTTTTCATAAATTTTGCCCTACACGTATTTTCATTTTTTAAAAGCAAACTTAAGGGTCCCTCCACTGCTCTTATTTTTAACACAAAAGATATTGGAGCCCCCCCCATCTCTCTGGGAGGGCACAGTTGTCTCAATTGGGTTATGCCACGGGCATTATTCTGGGATCAGCCATCGGAGATAAGTACTCCCTATCAGCTGGTTCACAGCTGCAGGTTGCCGGGGCCTCTGATATCCAGATTAGAGAATAGGCATCCTGGATAGTGTGGTCAGTTTCAGCCCCCCTCCACAGCCCTGCAGAATACTTGAAGAGGCATGTTATGAAGACTCTTAGGGAGTCGACACTTTTAGTCTTCATAATGAGGAATCCGGAAAACTTTTTTTTTTTTTGTCCATGGGATAGGGGCATTATGGACCTCCACATTCCTCATTATGAAGACTCAGCAGATAGAATCCTGAGTACTGCCTAAACACCTTTTTTTGTGCTTTAAAATATCTATAAGGCAGAATTTTTTTTTTTTTTTTTAAGTTTTTGATAAAGTAGGAAAATGTTAACCCATCAGGTACTTCAGCACAAAAAATAAAAACCGCACAGATGATCAAATACCACCAAAAGAAAACTCAATTTATGGGGGAAAAAAAAAGGACGTAAATTTCATTTGGGTGCAGCGTTGCATGACCACGCAACTGTCAGTTAAAGTAACGCAGTGCCATAACAAAAAATGACCTGATCAGGAAAGGGGGTAAATCCTCAGGAGGGCAAGTGGTTAATAATATTTTTTAATTGATGGATTTCAGGTGGGGAAAGGAGGGGGGGGGGGCACAGGGCCACGCACTAAGCACATTTTGGCTGCTTTATCAATAACTGGCTAAAATTCTAACACATGCTTTCACTCCAGGTTATCTAATCCCCCATTAGGGAGCTCAGAAACCTCACAGATATGAGTACATCATTGCAACTTACTTTCTCATCACATATTTCATACAGTTATCTTCCAAGGTACACCAGTCATGAAGATCTAACAATGCATTGCCCTTTTAGAGATAATTATCACTGAGACAAAGTGATGGGATAGCCTAAATTTTACAGCTGTCATCAGAATAAAAACAGAGAATATAGAACAGGGGGGCCACTTGCTGCAATGACAACTGTCTTAGAAGAGAGATTTCCTTTCACTTCCTATTGTGTCTCCTGGAGAGGAAGTAAAGAGAAGACACATGCAGAAAAAAACCCCTAAACAGTTTATTCAAAACTAAAACATTTTGGAGTTCAATAATGTGGGTGCCACAGTGGCTTAGTGGTTAGCACGTCTGCCTTGCAGTAAATGGGTCATGGGTTCGATTCCCGACCATGGCGCCTCCTGCATGGAATTTGCATGTTCTCCCTGTGCTTGCGTGGGTTTCCTCCGGGTGCTCCAGTTTCCTCCCACACTCCAAAGAGATGCTGGTAGGTTAATTGGATCCTGTCTAAATTGGCCTTAATATGTGTATGTATGAATGTGAGTTAGGGACCTTATATTGTACACCCCTTGAGGGTTAGGGACTGATGTGAATGTTTAATATACTGTATATGTGTAAAGCGCTGCGTAAATTGACAGCGCTATATAAGTACCTGAAATAAATAAATAAAATAAAGCAGGAAGGGGTTAGCTACTCTGCTAGGTTTTCATTGCTGTCTGTGTCCCAGCTGGGGAGATTCCAGTCCTTTGTCTTGATGACCACCGTCAACAAGATTAAAAGTGAGGGAAAACGCAACATTTTGAGTGGTCACTGAAACAGGAAGAGATCTGAATCATTTTGAAGGGGACACTTGAGGGGTGAGACATTTTCAGACACTGTTGCTACGGCCAGAATAGGCAACGTGAACGTTTCTCCTTTAACTTAAGAAAAGTGAAACCTCTTTTTTGGATATAAAATGACTAATAGAGGGGAGGAAATATTTCTGCTGCTGTGGTGGCAGATGACCAGAGGCTGAGATATTTGGCCTCATAATGGATGGATCGGAGTCGGACTGGACTCGCATCTGAAGAATAGGATCAGTGACCAAATGACCAACCATTTTGTAACTGAACATGAAATGCATGAGTGGTTAAAAATATTTTTCCCCATATCAAAAAGTGGAGCATCCCATTTTATGGGTGAACCTTGTTGGATAACTGTTTTTTTGTTTTTTTTTTTTTTTCTCTCATTTTGACTCTAGATTTGATTTCACTAATAATTATCTCTTTTTTTTCTGTAGACACGTGGATGGATAAAATCTGGGGACATAATGTGACAGAGTTTCAGAAGCGCTTTGACGCCACACAAACCCAGAACGAAGGGCCACGGCGACTAAAGAATCTGTACTTTATATACCTGATTGAGCTGAGAGCCATCTCCAAGGTTCTGCCTTTCTTTGAGCGACAGTCTTTTCTACTATATACCGGAAATGACACAAAAGACCTGGAGACAAAACAACTTCTGATCGACATTCTGCACGATGCCAAGTAAGACTCATGCTGTTCAATTACATCTTTTATACAGGAGGGCCACATAGCGTAGAAACTCATTTAAAGCCCTTCTGCAAGTCTTGAGGTAGCGGAATAAGCCAAAACCCTGGCCTTCCCTATTCTGGCAGGTTTCTTCCACACCATGCGAATGGTCCACGGAAGCCTCTTCTCTTTGGTGATTGCACTCGGACATTGTCAAGTACAATGTAGGACCAGCAGTTCTGCATTTTACCTGAGGGCAGTGAGGGCTCCACACAACCTAAGCACGGTCGACATGGTCAACTGACCGAAAGAGACAAAAGGACAGTTAGCAGGACTGTGACCCGGAATAAGAAAACAACTGCTGCAAAAGTGACTGCAGAGCTCAATATCAGTCCTCTGAAGACTGAGTCCCGTGAAGACTGAGATTGAGCCCTGCAGTCACTTCTGCAGCAGTTTTCCTATTCCGGGTCACAATCCTGCGCAGTCCCCTTTGTCTTTCACTTAGTTGACCATATCATATGAGTAGAGAAAGTGAACAAAGCCGCTGTACACTGAAAGGTATGAAAAAAAAAAAAAAACCATAATAACCATATCGACTGTGCTTAAGTTTATCAGACGACATTTTCCCGGAAACTGTATATGCCGTCATACCCTTTGATACTGTACCTCGTGACACGGCAAATACATTGGCAACTTCGGTCACAGAGGCACCAGCTAAGCAGCACCAACAATTTTCCCTCTTTGAAGCTCAGTAAGCTCTGACATGACTCCGTATTACTAGCAGCGCACGTAATGAATGAGGAAAGTGAGGCTTCCCACATGTTAACTAGGTGTCATCACACAGTGGATGCAAATGAGGGTTACATCACTTCCACTTTCAACACGAAATATGTTGTCACTTTCACGCCTGCTTGGAAATCATGTAGTGTTTCCATTTTTTTTTTTTTTTTTTTGTATCTGTGTGAAGGGCTGTATTTGCCTGCATGTAATACACAGGTGCTCCATACATCTGCATGTAGGCAGTTCCATGCCGATTGGGATGCAGCGGCTGCATGGACACAGCCACGGTACCCCAATTTGACATCCGTGTGGGCATGTGTCCCTGGATGCAGACATTGTGTGTTCAGAAACATGCACCTGCACAGATATCAGATTGGGACATCTTGAGGCTGTAATTGGTGCTAAAAGAGCTTCAACAAAGTATTGAGCAAAGGCTGGGAATACTTATGTACATGTGTTTTTTTTCTGCTTCTTATTTTTAATAAATTGCAAAGATTTCAAAACAAACTTCTTTCACGTTGTCATTATGGGGTATTGTTTGTAGAATGTTGAGGGAAAAAAATGAATTTAATCCATTTTGGAATAAGACTGTAACATAACAAAATGTGGCAAAAGTTCAGTGCTGTGAATACTTTCTGGATGCACTGTATGATCACACAACTGCTGCGTCCCAGTTGACATTTATGGGACTGCCTGCATCCTGTGTGGATAAAGATGACCCTTTCATGGGAGTAAGCATGGTTATGCCCTGTGCAAACGTGCCCTTGGCATGAATGTAGACTGTAGGCACATTAATTAATACACCAAACTAGAACACCAGGATCTTTATTTTCAGACTGACAGTCCTTTTCAGCTGAGTCTAATGAGATTTAAAAAATGACAGTCACATAGCTAAAATAAACATCCTTGTGTAAATTGAGCCTAAAGGTATCATCTACATTCCATTCCTTGTAAGTGTTCTTTCTGGTCAAGTTATATTTCCTTCTCTGTCATGTTTCAGAGATTTTCCCCTGCACTTCGATGAAAATTCTCTTTTTGCCGGTGATAAGAAGCAAGCTGACCGCTTAAAGGTAACATAAACAATAGAACTAATATTAGAGTCTGCGTGAGGATTGGGGATTTCAGGATAAAGGGCTTGCTACAGTTTTGATGCAACGGAGAGGGGGCATGAAATATTTCTTGGCCAGCGTCTACTTTTCCATACCAGGATTATCACATCTACGATGGATAACGAGATGCCATCAGTCCCAGATATTATAAATAATTGTAAGCTGTGCTGCACCGCGGTCTGTTTATCACTACCGATACTCAATCCATACCTGTGATAGAAGCTAACATGGATGCCCACGTTTCCTGTATAATTCTGTTACTTCACTTTCACTTTACACATTCACAGGGTGATTTTTTTTTTTTTTTTTCCTTTTTTATATAGGAAGAATTCCGGCAGCACTTCAGGAATATCTCAAGAATTATGGACTGCGTTGGTTGCTTTAAATGTCGCCTTTGGGGAAAATTGCAGGTAAGGAGTCTAAGACATATTCAGCTAAAGGATGCTTGAACCTTTCCCACTAACCCTGCAAGAGACATTTTTATGACTTTGAATTGTGTGACTGGCTGTCAGCAATCACATGATGGAAAGGACATCCTATTTGCTCTTGGTTGCCATTGTGTGACCGGGAGATGTTGGTGGCAGTGCAGAGAAGTTTACTTCAGTTTTCCTTGTACTTTCTGTTTTAGTGACCACTGTGGCAGCATAGACAGCAATAAACCTAAAAAAAGTGGCTGCAACTCTTCCCCTCCTAATAATAATCAACTCTGCCCGTCTTTGATCCAAAGATGACAATAGTTTGGTTGGAGTTGTACTTGGATCGCTGTCCCATGAACACATATTCGTGACTCGCAATACTACACTGCTCAAAATAATTAACTTGATGCTAGACTCTAATTAAAAAGTCTTCCTTTAAACTCCTGGGAAATTGATCTGGTCAGGTAAGTAGCAGAGGGGATTGTTAATCAGTTTCAGCTGCTTTGGTGTTAATGAAATTAACAGGTGCACTAGTTGGGCAACAATGAGATGACCGCCAAAACAGAAATAGCTTTACAGGTGGATGCCACTGACATTTTATTCTCTACTCATCTTTCCTGACTGTTTTTCACTAGTTTTTGCATTTGGCTGGGGTCAGTGTCACTACTGGTAGTATGAAGCGTTACCTGGACCCTCCAGAGGTAGCACAGGAGTCCAACTCCGCTAGAATGGTACATCAATATGTACCATTGCCAGAAGGTTTGCTCTGTCTCCCAGCACAGTCTCAAGAGCATGGAGGATTTTCCAAGAGACAGGCAGTTACTCCAGGAGAGCTGGACAGGATGAGCACTGCCAGAGCCCTACAAAATGACCTCAAGAAGGCCACTGGTGTGATGTCTCTGACCAAACAATTAGAAAAAGACTTCATGAGGTTGTCCTGAGGGCCCAACGTCCTCTAGTGGGCTCTTTTCTCACTCTCCAGCACCATAGAGCTTGATTGGCATTTGCCATTGAACCCCAGAATTGGCAGGTCCACCAATGGCGCCCTGTGCTTTTCACTGATGAGAGCAGGTCCACCCTGAGCACATGTGACAGACGTGAAAGGGTCTAAAGAAGCCGTGGAGAACGTTCTGCTGCCTGTAACATCGTTCAGCATGACTGTTTTGGTGGTGGGTCAGTGATGGTCTGGGGAGGCATATCCATGGAGGGACACACAGACCTCTACAGGCTAGACAATGGCACCTTGACTGTCATTAGGTATTGGGATAAAATCCTTGGACCCATTGTCAGACCCTACACTGGTGCAGTGGGTCCTGGGTTCCTCTAGGTCAGTGTTTCTCAACTCCAGTCCTCATGGACCCCCAACAGGTCATGTTTTCAGGATTTCCCTCAGATGAAACAGCTATGGTAATTACTAAGGCAGTGAAACTGATCAAATCACCTGTGCAAAATAATGGAAATCCTGAAAACATGACCTGTTGGGGGTCCATGAGGACTGGAGTTGAGAAACACTGCTCTAGGTGCACGACAATGCCCAGCCTCATGTGGTGAGAGTATGCAGGCAGTTCCTGGAGGATGAAGGAATTGATACCATTGAATGGCCCCCACGCTCTCCTGACCTAAATCCAATAGAACACCTCTGGGATATCATGTTTCGGTCCATCTGCCGTCGCCAGGTTGCACCTCAGACTGTCCAGGAGCTCAGTGATGCCCTGGTCCAGATCTGGGAGGAAATACCCCAGGACACCATCCATCGTCTCATTAGGCGCATGCCTGAGAGTGTAGGGGCATACAAGCACGTGGGGGCCATACAAACTACTGAGGACCATTTTGAGTTGCTGCAATGAAATTTCAGCAAAATGGACTAGCCTGCTGCATCATTTTTCACTGATTTTCGGGGTGTCTTTGAATTTAGTCCTCTGTAGGTCGATCATTTTCATTTCCATCAAACAATGGGGCGTCCTTACATTCCTAACACATTACCCTGTCCCTATCAGTACAGATATCCAGCATGATTTTTCTCCTTTTGAGATCTGATGTGTTTTTTCAAAGTTTTTCCTTTTCATTTTTTTTTTTTTTTTGAGCAATGTATAAAGTGAAGTAGGGTGGAGGAAGGATTGTGAGCAAGATGGTTCAAGGTGCCTTGTTTTGGGGAAAGAGTAGAGACCCATCATCACCCAATAGTGGTTGATCACATCCTATGATGTATGATCAAATCCTGGCCCAATCGTTTTTTACCAGATGGTGTCTTCTGCCAACTTTGTAATTTAAAAATTGTATTTGTAATTTAAAATGGTTGTGCAGTTTGGAAAGAGCCCTTCCATGTCTTGGACATTTGGCGGTTATCTTGTACAAATATAGCTGTGTCGGCTGCAGTAACCAACCACATCCTTCCTTTCTTACTGGCTGTAGAAAAAAAAGACAATTGCTGTGTTTTTGGTTGCTAGACAACGCAGACAAAATTTTCTGAGTTTGTCCTTTTCTACTATCGTGTCATAACCTGAGCGCTGCCACAATATACAGCCATGCATGTTGCATGTCCTGCTGTGTTGCAGTGCCGTTTATTTTTAATAACCCCGAAACACACTAAGGCGATATACCAACATTACAGCACACTGCCTTGCCAGAAATGGTGCATGTCCAATTTTTGACACATTAGTAGTCTATTAATTTCAATGGGCTGCCTTTAACACCTTGAAATAAATGGGCTGCAATGCACACTGACATGCCAAAAATCAGACCTACATAATTTTTGTCAAGGCACCATATTGTTCTCCTATGCTTTGCTCTAGTGTATTGGGGTGCCTGCCTTGCGTTGTGGGGAGCACTACCATGCATTGTGTGCTGAAATGCTGATGCATTGCTTTATTGTGATGGGGTGCTATTCAAAATGAATGCAGCATGTGCCTTGCAGTGACATTGAGCCTGGGTTCACATATGTGCAGTGCGGTATACCGCATGTGATTCGCACAAGAACCGCACCGCATTCCTGTGCAAATCAAATGCGATTTTGTGTGCGGTGCAATTGGAGCCATACATTTTGTATGGCTCTAATCGCACCAAAAATGAGCAGGACCCTTTTTTGGGTCCTCAATAGAATCGGATCACATGGGTATTCATACATAAGCGATCTGATTCTGCACATCGCACGCATTTTGCGGACTGCTTTCAGGGTGTTGTTAACATACATACCCGCAGCGATTCGCATGAACGGGGTGCTATTCTGATGCGGTGCGGAATTCCCACTGAAAAGACTGCGAATTCCGCACCGCATCAGTGTGAACCAGGGCTAAAGGATAAGTTCACCTTTGGGAACATGTTACATGTTCCACCTGTTTTTAGGCTAGGTTCACACCTATGCAGTTTGCGTTTGAACCTGTCCCATAAAAATGGACTGTAGTGCGTTTCTGGAAACCGCATAGGTGTGAACCTAGTATTAGGATGTAACATAATCCCGAACCTGTAGCCGGCACCTGATTTCCTGTGAGTGCTGTGGCAGTTCATTGAGCCTTCTTGTCAGAGGTATGGGCTTGCCCATACGGGATGTACAAGCAAACAGATAACCTGACAGTCTGCAGGAGACCTACATGGCATCAGCAATCTGCTGATCGCTGGTGCAATGCTTTACAGGCACCTACTACAAAAAAATAATAAATGCACATTTTTTTAACTGCAAAAAAAATTTGCATTTATTTAGTTTTTGCAAAAAGGTGAACTAATTCTTTAATTTCAAATGGAACTAAGGCAACACACCTGCTTTGTTCCAACACCGTATCCTGATGTGTTATGTTACCAATAATGGTACCTGTTTGATTTTCACCAGGTTGGGGTGCCATTGTCAGTTCATTTCAGTGGCCTGCCTTAATGCAATGCTTATGTGTTAAAACACCACTTATGTGTACATGTTTGGTCTGGGCTGCCTATATTTCATCTGTTTATCTCTATTGCCATATAACCTGTAGTGATCATTGTATCTCATGCAGACTCAGGGATTAGGAACGGCACTGAAAATTCTGTTTTCTGAAAAACAAATTGAGAACATGGCAGAAAGTGGGCCGTCCTACGGCTTTCATTTGAAGCGCCAGGAAATCGTGGCCCTTCTTAACGCGTTTGGAAGGTGAGTACATGTAAATGTCTGTCTTGTTGAGCTGTACCCCCTGGATGATGCATAGGATAGGGGAAGTCGGCGGGAGGGACATTACTGTCATTTTTGGTCTGAATCTGAACAATTCAATGGAGAACCTGAAAACATCACTCATCCATAACTGTTTTTTGTTTTTTTTCTCTTTCATTTTTTGGGTAGACTTAAAGTGAACCTGGCTTGATGGTGTTATGCGGGCTGCCATTACACAACTAAAAGTCCCGTACACACACGGCTTTCAAGTTGTATAAGAGCAGTTTACACAGCAGGCTTTTAAAAAGCATCTGCTTAATATTCCCAAATGGGGAAATGAAGCATTCTGTAAGGGCACATTTACACTCATGTCCAGGATGGTTCTCTTTCACAAATGGGTATAGGAACAACTGACACACATTCAGAAGGCAATACTGCTCCCTCTTAAATACCTAGTTCTTTTTTGGTGGTGGCTGTTTGTTTCTTTGTATTTTTGTTTTTGTTTTTTTTTTTTTTTGTTTTTTTTAATAGGCAGTTTGAGCCCTGTTTCACGCTTTTGCGGTGCTGAATTTGCAGCGTTTTCTGTGCGAATTCCGCACCACATCAGAATCGCACACTGTTCATGCAAACTGCTGCGGGTGTGTATGTTAAGTTAACGCCCTCGAAAGTGGTCCACAAAACGCAGTGCGATGTGCAGAATCGGATCGCATAGGTGTGAATACCCATGCACTCTGATTCTAGTGCGGACCAAAAAAGGGGTCCTGCACGTTTTTGGTGCGGTGCAAATTGAGCCATACAAAATGTATGGCTCCAATCGCACCGCACAGAAATCTCATGTGATTTGCACAGGAATGCGGCGCAGTTTCTGTGCAAATCACATGCGATGTACTGTACCGCATATATGTGAACCCGGGTTCAAAGTGAATCTTTCACCATAGCTTTGAGCCTGTGGTTGCAATGTGGCCCAATTCACTTGGATAGATTTGCTTTTTAGTGATAGTACTGCATTTGCTGCCAGGTAGTTTTTGCCACAGAGTGATGCAAAGTATTTCTGCCACAGCATGTGTATATCACCCTACAGCTTAAAGGAAAGGTGATTGTAGGGGGGGTCGCTAAAATCCTAGCTACCTAGCAAATGTAAACCAGGCCTCAAAGGAGGGGTGCTCAACCTTTTCAAGGGCAAGAGCCACTTAAGCGATTTGGTAACTGGTCGCGGGCCACAATGAACGAAAATGGCTCAGAATTTAGAATTTTTTATTTTGAATAGCATGATGAACATTTTTCCTCCTGCATATGATGAATGCCGATAGGAGGAGAAGCCGGCTTTCAGCAGTTGCAGAAGGAAAATGGAGAGGATTGGCTTCTGTACATGCCGCCCCTCCTGTCCAAGTGTAAAACAGAATGTGACAGGGAGCCTGCACAAAACTCTCAGGATATAATAGAAGGCTGTGGCTCAGGTCAGCTAACCCTCAGGAAAGCCACAGGTGCACTGCACTGCACCCGTGGATCATTGTGACAGCAGCCTAATAGTTCACTTTTTTTTTTATAGGTAAAAATCTTCACATTGCAAAAGCGCAGTGTATGTGATGTTTATTACACTGACCTTTTCTTCTTCCAGCGTCTGCTGGCATCACTCTCCAGTCTGCTAGAAAGGTCCCAGGTGAAGTGCACTTGCTATCAGTCTGCCTGGGACAGGAGCCATCAATACAGAGGTTGCAACGGCTTATGTGGCTCCTTCTCTCTCTGGGCTGCTTGCTTCCTCTGCTGCCCGCGCCACTTCGATGAACTCTGATTATTATTATAATACAGTATTTATATAGCGCCAAAAGATTTGCTCAGCGCAGTACATTGATGCTGTGAGATGAAGGGTCAGCAAGCCCAAATCATAATCAAAGGATGCATTTGCTTCCCTGGTGTAAGGTCGAGGGCCACATCAGAGGGCTCTGAGGGCAACATGCTGAGCACTCCTGCGTTGAAGCTTATTGCCAAAATGTCCCTTTTTAAATAGTTTGTTTGGAGTAAGCGGGCCCCAACAAACTACTGTACTAACAGGTGCACTTGCTGGATGCATTCACTGTACATAGCCTTCCCGTCCCACTGCTAGAACACAGTGCTGTATACTGTATGTTGCTCAGGGTATATACAGTTAATACTGTATGCCAGCAAGTGCACCTGTCAGTGCAGTAAGCAGCTGGTTTGGGCCAGTTTGGCCTAAACAAACTGTATTTAAATAGACATTGAGTGGAGTTAGGATTTAAAGCGATTCTAAAGGTTCCTTTTTTTTTTTTTTTTTTTTTTCTCTAAAGCAGGAGGTGTCAAGTAACTACCCTGCAGAGCCTCCCAGCTCTGACCTAAAATAACCCCTTCTAGCTCAGCCTAGGCTTCTATTCCGCTTTTCTAGCTGAAAAAAAAAAAAAACTATCTAGCTCCCCCTAGATATGTAGAAGGGTGCTACATAAATATGGCAGAGCTGTCTAATAAGCACCAAAGTTAGACACGGTGCACTCAGTAATCAGCACTCAGTAACAAACCTGTGCATGCATGCTCTGAGCCATTGTGGAAGGTGTACAATCTTTACCACTTCATTGTGTTGTCACCAGTTTGGCTCATAGAAATTGTTATCCACATTCGAACTGAGTTTTACTGCTATATATATATATATATATATATATATATATATATATATATATATATATATATATATATATATATATATATATATATATATATCAGGTGGATGGCGGATGCAGAGCAATAATGGTAAATTTTAAAGTGATCTTAAAGGCCTAATTTTTTTTTTCTTAATAACAAACATGTCTATACTTGCATGCTGTGTGAAGTGGTTTTACACAGAGCTGCCCCAATCCTCCCCTTCTCGGCCCTCGCAGGCTCTCCTGTCTGTCGGGTGCCCCCACAGCAAGCAGCTTGCTATGGGGGCACCCGCTACTCAGTGTGTCCATTCACACATGGAGCTGCGGCCTGGCCCCACCCCCCCTCACTCTTCATTGGCTTAACTGGCTGTGATTGACAGCAGCAGAAGCCAATGACTTCCGCTTGTGGTCTCAGCCAATGAGGCAGAGACCCAGCCGAGGCTGTCATTCACATGCTTGGCAAAAGCTTGCTGCACACACAGCTCTTGTACATTATAAGATCCATGTGTACTAGACTAGATGGAGCAGAACAAAGCCTCCTGCTTGCTTGGCTTTTACATTACTGTACTATTACCGGACACTCAATGGGCATGGTGACAGTGACTCTTGGAGCCTGAACTCATAAACACTTTGAAACACAATGTTGTGGTCGATCACCTTGTGATTATCATGAGACTGACAGGTTTACTTTGTTGTAAGCTCCCAAATGTCAACCATTTTCCACTTCCTTCCTGCAGGATTTCTACGAGTGTCAAAGAGCTGGAAAACTTTAAAAGACTATTGGACAACGTGTGACAGCGGAGAGACCAGGACCCAGAAGCAGGGAATTTTGCACTATGGTGGCCCATACTTGTTTGACTAGAACATCCTTGGTCAAAAATCTGAGAATCTCCATTCTCACTGTGAAAACTGGTCCTTGGAGGACTTTCCTGTGTATATTGTAAAATTACTACGCTTAAGATTTTCTATTTACTGTGACTTGTAACTGCACTTCTATTGGACACCCTGATGAAGCTCTGATTACCTTTTTAATAAGGGGATAGTTTTTTCCTATCCCATATATTGAGCATCTGTTTCATCTGCCTTGACCACTTCTGTCCAGTGACTGTGTATCTGCCTTGTTGTGTCATACTTGCCGATTGCTATCACATAATCATGCGTTAATGATGGATTACTAGCAGGTGTGTTGGCGCAGCAGAGCGGGGCATGGAAGGGCGGACTTTATATTAAAGGAAATAAACGTAAATTATTGCATTTTTGAGGGTCAAGCTGTGCCCCTGTTACATGATCTTTTGTTAAAATAATTATAATAATCATGGAGGGGGTCATACGATCATGACAGAATTGTAGTCCTCGCTCAAAAAGAAGTCCTTTATTGTTTGGAGGGAAAGGGGGGGTTGTAAAAGTGGCACTTCAATCAAAATGTTTTTTTAATTTTTAGATGGGATGGAAAGAATATGAACTTATGTCACTTTTTCCTGTCTGTGTCCCTCCTAAACCAAATACATACAAGAGCACTATGCATTCCCTTTTATTAAATTAATTTCAAAACTTGTAGTTGTTGGCTTAACCTTTTTTTTTTTTTTTTTTTCTTTAATCTGGTTTTTATCTGCTTTGTTGAGAATAAAAAAATGTATATGAAGCTCAATAACTCAAGCTAACATATGTGCCTCCCTGCAAGGACTCGGAGACAGATTGTCCAAAAGCAAACCACATCTGCTCTCTTTGGACAACCCATAGTGTTGTGTTTAATATAAATTAAAAACTCTCTCTCTCTCGCGCTCTCTCAACTCTTGCTCTCTCTCAGCTCTCTCTCTCTCTCTCAGCTCGCTCTCAACTCTCTCGTGCTCTCAACTTTCTTTCTCTCTCTCAACTCGCGCGCGCTCTTTCTCTCCTCACCTCTCTCACACACACTCGCTCTCTCGAGAAACCCCCCCTCTCTCTCTCGAGAACCCCCCCCCCCCCGCTCTCTCTCGAGACCCCCCCCCCCCCCCCGCTCTCTCTCTCTCTCCCCCCCCCCCCCCCCCTCGAAACCAATCTCCTTCCATGTTTTATTCCCAAAGCTTAATTGATTGAGCTGAAATTAGAGTCTGATTGGCTACTATGCACAGCTGTACCAGATTCTGAGTGCACTAGTTTTAGTAAATCTACCCCAATGTATTACATATTACAGTGAGTTGATCCAAAACAATTACTTTCCCCTCACTCCCAGTCTTGGTGATACCCTGGTGGGGGAAATCTCCCTAATGGGGACACAGACAGCAATAAAGCTTGACAGAAGTTATAACTCTTCTCTGCTCTGTACAAAATGGTAAAAATAATACTGAATGTTTTGGTTGGAGTTTCACTTTAAGGACCTTGCTGCCTAATGACCAGCCGAGATGGTCTCTCCTCTGGTTGTGGGTGTTCGCTATTGAACGATGGGGCCCCCACACACCCCACATGTACCTTTTTTTTTTTTTTTTTTTTTTTTTTTTTTCCCTTCTTCAGTATCGGTTTTAAATGTTAGTCTGCTGTTGGTGCTCAGCCATGCTCTGCAGCGCACTTGGCCTCTGATACCTATGGATACTTGTAGGAGGGCAGGCTGCTGCTCATCTGATTGCAGAGGTCCTGATGACCAGCAGGACTTTTAACAAGCTTTGTTGTTATCAATTAACAAGGCACTGCCCTAGGGTAAGGTCATGTTCTCATGTTTTGGGCCTGCCAGTGACCCTCGGTGTATGGTATGGTCTGTGTGCACCTTAGCTTGCTCTCCTGGTAGACGTATTCGGAAACTCAGTGCCTGGAAAAAAAATAGAGGAACGTATCTACCCTTCCCCACCCGCCACTGCATTTTAGGAACGCATCTACCCTTCCCCACCCTCCTCTGGATTTTAGGAACATATCTACCCTTCCCCACCCTCCTCTGGATTTTAGGAACATATCTACCCTTCCCCACCCTCCTCTGGATTTTAGGAATGTATCTACCCTTCCCCCGCCCGCCTCTGCAGTTTAGGAACGTCTCTACCCTTCCCCGCCCTCCTCTGCATTTTAGGAACGTCTCTACCCTTCCCCGCCCGCCTGTGCATTTTAGGAGCGTATCTACCCTTCCCCGCCCGCCTGTGCATTTTAGGAGCGTCTCTACCCTTCCCCGCCCGCCTCTGCATTTTAGGAACGCATCTACCCTTCCCCGCCCTCCTCTGCATTTTAGGAGTGTCTCTACCCTTCCCTGCCCTCCTCTGCAGTTTAGGAACGCCTCTACCCTTCCCCACCCTCCTCTACATTTTAACACCTGCTACACAGTGACAGAGCAGAGACATTAAGTGTGTGGTTTGATAATATGCGATGGCTCTGTTGCATGAAGCTCCACCTGCACTTTTTAGGGTTCCTACATCCCTAAAATGCAAAACCAGGACTGTCTGTTATCCATTGCCAATCCTATTTCCCTATTGTATTGCGAGAATGACCTAGGGAATCTGATCAGCTGCAGATGGTTCCCCTTTTGGAGCATTTCACAGTTGAGGCTTTTGTCATCTTGTCAGTACATTGCTCCTACGGCTTTTTTCAGAATATTTATTACCTTACCTGGGTCTGCCTTCAACACACAAATGAAGCATTTTACTTAACATTTATTTCTGGGGGGGGGAAAACAAAAATATGTAGTGCATCTCTGCAATGCATACGCATTTCCCCATGCTTCATCCCTTTTAAAGGACCTGCAAGTACAGACAAATACTTGCAGAAAACCCAACTTTGAGATGACAATACCATGTCTCTACTGCACTAAAATCCCAAGCAGTGTTGTCAGCCCTGCTGGACTACAGAACATCTCCCCTCTTCTTTTTATCTTGTTAACATATGGTCTAGGTCAGGGGCAGTGGTGTGTTTACTGCAAGGCAAACAAGGCATTTGCCTAGGGTGGAATTTTTCAGGGGGGGCAGCAGGAGAGGGGGATGGTGCTGATTGGCGTAAGGCTCTCTCCGCAGGGGAATATCCGATTTTTGTGTTGCCTAGGGCAGCACAAAACCTAAATACACCACTGGTGGCCCATCAGCTGTTGTGAAACTACAAGTCTCATCATGCCTTTTGGGAGTCATGCTTGTAACTGTCAATCTTGCAATGCCTCATGGGACTTGTAGTTTGGCAGCAACTGGCAGGCCGCCAGTTTGACACCCATGGTCTAAGTGTTAGACGCCGTTCATTGGAGAACTGGGCAGAGCTGACGACACTGATTGGGATTTCTGTGCAGCAGAGGCAGTGTTATTGGGTCACTACAGGAAATTAGGAATTCTGGCAGGATTAACCTGTATCTCTTTGTACTTTCAGCATTTTTAAAGAGACAAAACATAGGAAAATTTGGATAGAATGATGTAATGAATTTATTTTACTTTTTTTTTTTTTTTAAAGGATCTCAAGGAAGGAGTTCCATTTATTGATGGAGAAGGAGGGCTGTTTAGCAATTACAAATACTTTATCTCAATAATCTCTGGAGGGCTGTGAGCATTATCTGTCATCCGCTGTATGGAGATGGATTGGTTGTAATGGAGATGTTTCTATAGGTATCCTTACAGCAGAGTATGTGTACCAGCACCTGTTCTTGCAACCATCCCACTACTGATCTCAGATAAGGGATCAGGCCTCAGATAGCCCTTCGTTCTACAATGAAGGTTAACAGGGATGAGTTTAACTTTTTGGAGAATGTTGTTTATGTAGAACTAAAGTCAACATTTTTTTTTTTTTTTTTAAAGAGTAATGGAGGGTTATAACCCCTGTCACCTTGTTTGTTTTCTGTTTCCCACTGGGGAGATTTACCTTCACTTCCTATCCCATAGCCAAAACAGGAAGTGAGAGAACAATCTCTGCAAATCAGAATCATCAGAACTAGTGTCACCCTTGGACGATTTCCCCTCTATTACTTTTATGGGGACAACCCAAAGTTTGGGATTTTCTTTTACTCCCACTTTTACTGTTAACAGTAAACAGGACCAATAGAGAGGGTGAATCTCCTTAACGGGGGGCACAGACCGCAATAAAAACTGACAGGTAATCTAATCCCTCTCCACTTTTGTCCTAAGCTACAAAAAACATTTTTTTTCCTTTTAGTTATAAAAAAGCAGCCCTTCGCTTCTCCAAGCCGTTGCAGCATGAGCGATCTCGAGCTTGGAATGATTAGGGATAGCATGCCAATAGCTTCCTCCATGCTGCGCAAGACGTTCGCTTGAAAGTGACCCTGTTGCTCGAAGGTCACTTGTACTCAAAGGACTCCTGTCAGCCAGCTCTATCGCAGCTGGCTGACAACACTGCTGCTAATTGTGGCTTAACGGTGTCAGCTTGCAAAAGGAAGTGCTTTACTGTCAGGATCTCCAGCCATGAAACAGATTCGTCTGAAATATTATATCACTGTTCAGGAAGCTTAGCAGGAGGGCCTTGCCAGACTGATGACCTGTATGCAGTCAGGTGTGAAAATGGCAGAGGAAGCCGCAACAAGGAATAGTAGTCTCCCTCCTCGCCATACTGTGTGTAAATCGCAAGAGCAGCTGAACAGTTTATTAACATTTTGGCAACTAAATCAGGTCACGTAGACGTATTTAGCGGTTTGGTGAGAATTCTGCTTAACTCTGCTTTAGGAAACCCGCTTCGGCCACGGCTGTTTTAAATATTGTATCATAACGATTTATTAAACCAGGTAAAATTGTATTTCCCAAGAATGTTTTGGGGGATGAGGTTAGGGGGTATTGAATGCTCCTGTTACTCAGGGACCATTGACTATTCTGATGTGTATATTATATATTTGTTGCAGGGCAGCTGGATCAACA